TTTTCGCAACTTGGTCATATTGGTAGGAAGACTTATAGAAACGCACCTTGTCCTGAGTCCATTGTATGCAAAATTATTTCCAAAGTCGAGCCATGGACGTGGTACATTCCCAAACATTTCGCCGGCATTGTCAGTGAGTTCTACCATTCGTAGCACTATCTTACAACTCTTCAACTCGTCTCTGTACCACGTCCACAGTCCGACTTTGGAAATAATTATGCATACAATGGACTCAGGAAAAGGTGCGTTTCTATAAGTCTTCCTACCATTATGGCGAAGTTGCGAAAACAAGGTCAAACAACTTATTTACGACTGTTAAGCCGAGGGACGTTCGACGGCCCAGTGCTTGCACGGGGCCTACATTACATGCACCGTATTGGTACGATCTAGCTGTGCCAGCGACAGGAAGACGCAGTCTTGCGTCGTCTGCTAAAGTGGTCACAATAATTTCCAGCATCGAACTGTTCGCCTGCTACAGACAAAGCTGCACAGGCAGTCTCGGAGGCCCAGGTTTGTCTGAAGTGTAGACAAACGATGGTGTGCTCTCGTCGGCAAAGCGACCCGTAAGGCTGCAGTGCTTGTGGGGACAGTTGAAGAGGGGCACAGGCAAGAAGGGCTGATTGGTTGGTCAACTGGTCGGCTGGTCGGCTGGTCGACTAACGGATGAGCCGAAGCCCCAGGCCGGCACATCACCAGTGCCAGTAGTCGCCCCAATGGCAGGATCAAGCGCGACCGCGAGACAGACGCCTGTGTTTGTGTGTGACCCCAGTCGAATATCAAAACCGAGTGGGTGCCCGAGGCGAGAGCAAGAGAGGAGAGAGGAGAGAGCGAGAACGCGAGAGACAGAGAGAGTGGGCCAAGGCTGGCGCAACAAAGGCGACAAAGGTGGTGAGACGAGGCGAGGCGAGACCGAGGCATCCAGGCGAACGCATTCACGGATGAACGGTACGTTGACAGTGCCGAGGTGAGTCATATCGCGTCTGCTCGGGCGCAGCAGAACCGCGCCTGCCCAGGCCGACAGTCGGACAGACGGCCCGAGTCAGATTTGGTCAGACTGCGGGACCAGACGGGTCCCGGTACAGAAAGCGAATGTTGTGCAGACAAAGCGTCAGGCCTCTGACTCAAGTGAGCCCAAAGCCCTCGTGCGAGAGGCCAGGGCACCTGGGAGGGGGGGGGCGA